AGAGGGAAGTGAAGCACCATGTTTGGATTTAAAGAAACAAAACAAGCAGCTTTGAGACTTCAGAAAATGGTGAAATGGGGGTTTGTAAAGTTAAAATAAGAAGGAATTCAGACCAAAGCATTACAGTTCCATGTTATAAAGACTCATACTGAATGATTTAAATGTGGAAAAGAAGGATTAAAGCATGATATGTATGTCTAATTTAAAACTGTCTTGAGTTACTTAAAGGAGTTTAATGAAACTTTAAGATAATATTAAGTGAACGTACATCTACAGATGATTTACCCTTAGTGCCAASCAATTTTAACTTAGTTAAATCATTAAATTTAGCCAATAAAAATGGTTTACCTCAGTTACTTTAAAAACAATGAGCTAAAACTTGATGTAGTGGCTGAAAGTCATTCATAAAACATCAAATGTGACATCTTGCATTATTGTAAATAATGTTATTTTTGTTGCTTGACTGAAACAATAGTAAGTAGTACAATACTTCTTGCAGTATTGCATAAAGCCAAAGACATATTTAACAATAATGCATTACTTATATTATATAATGCTCTAGTTGTGCCACATTTGACCTATTGTGTTGAGGTCTATGGGAGTGCGTGTAAAACATTTAGAAATCCACTTTTTATTTTGCAGAAACGTGCAGTGAGAATCGTAACAAGAAAACACAACTATCACCCTACAAATATTCTGTTTAAACAATTGGAACTGTTGAAATTTGGGGAATTGGTAGATCATAGTATTCTGCTGATTATGTATAAGGCTCATAAAAATGTATTGCCACCTAATATTTGATCCAATTTTGTTAAGAAGGATAGTGTTTTTAATTTGAAGGGACTTGAAATGTTTGTAAAGCCAAAAGTTTGAATAAATTTGAAGGAGCGATGCACCTCTGTTTGAGGAATTGGAACAACTTGGACAATGACCTTAAGAATGTTGGAACAATTTATTCATTTGGTAGAAAGCTGAAAGGTTTTATTTTGATGAGATATGAACAAAGTATTGGTTGAAATTGAGATTTCTGTTGTGATGTTGTTTTCTTGATTATTTTTAAGCTAAACTGTGAAAATTGAGTTTAATTTCTGTGTGTTGTATGTTTTGTAGATACAGTATATATTTGTTTTGAATGGGGGCAGATGTTACAAGATTTTTTTCTTCTTTCTGCTCCTTTTCATTTGACCATGCTGTGTTGTGTTGTTGAGAGGAGGGTCCGTCAGATAGTCGAACCTCGGATTCAGGAAGAGCAGTGTGGTTTTCATCCTGGTTGTGGAACACTGGACCAGCTCTACACCCTCAGCAGGGTCCTGGAGGGTGCATGGGAGTTCGCCCAACCMGTCTACATGTGTTTTGTGGACTTGGAGAAGGCGTTCGACCGTGTCCCAAGGGGGGCCTTGTGGGGGGTTCTCCGGGAGTATGGGGTACCAGGCCATTTGATACGGGCTGTCAGGTCCTTGAACGACCGGTGTCAGAGTCTGGTCCGCATTGCCGACAGTAAGTCGGGCTCGTTCCCGGTGAGAGTTGGACTCCGCCAAGGCTGCCCTTTGTCACCGATTCTGTTCATTACTTTCATGGACAGAATTTCTAGGCGCAGCCGAGGTGTTGAGGGGATCCGTTTTGGTGGRCTTAGGATCACATCTCTGCTTTTTGCGGATGATGTGGTCCTGTTGGCTTCATCGGAACGAGATCTGCAGCTCTCGCTGGAGCGGTTCGCGGCCGAGTGCGAAGCGGCCGGGATGAGGCTCAGTGCCTCCAAATCCGAGGCCATGGTCTTGAGCCGGAAAAGGGCAGAGTGCCTTCTCCGGGTCAGGGGGGTCGCCCTGTCTCAAGTGGAGGAGTTTAAGTATCTGGGGATCTTGTTCACGAATGGGGGAAGAACGGAGCGGGAGATCGACAGGCGGATTGGTGCAGCGTCTGCTGTAAAGCGGGCGCTGTACCGGTCCGTCGTGGTGAAGAGAGAGCTGAGTCAGAATGCGAAGCTCTCGATTTACCGGTCGATCTACGTTCCTACCCTCATCTATGGTCATGAGCTTTGGGTCATGACCGAAAGAACGAGGTCCCGGATACAAGCGGCCGAAATGGGTTTCCTCCGCAGGGTGGCTGGGCTCTCCCTTAGAGATAGGGTGAGAAGCTCGGTCATCCAGGAGGGACTCAGAGTAGAGCCGCTGCTCCTCCACGTCGAGAGGAGCCAGTTGAGGTGGTTCATCTGGTAAGGATGCCTCCTGGACTCCTCCCTGGTGAGGTGTTCCGGGCACGTCCCACCGGGAGGAGGCCCCGAGGAAGACCCAGGACACGCTGGAGGGACTATGTCTCTCGGCTGGCCTGGGAACGCCTTGGAGTTCCCCCGGAGGAGCTGGAAGAAGTGGCTGGGGAGAGGGAGGTCTGGGCCTCCCTTCTGAAGCTGCTGCCCCCACGACCCGACCCCGGATAGGTGGAAGAAAATGGATGGATGGATGGATGGATGGTGTTGTGTTTTTTTCTTTTTTGACGCAACATTATTATTATTTGTATTGTTTAAATTGATGTTCGAATGAAATAAAGTATTATAAAAAACAGAAACAACTGTTATGTCTCAACATGAGTTCAAGTCATTTACCATGAACAGCATGAGAAAGTGGTGGGCAGTATGCATTTAATTACTACTATATTCACAACACACAAGATTACATTTGAGCTTTAATAAGACATTGTAATGTTTCATTTCATCATTCCACATGCATTAAAAACTCCAGSATATAAACATTTGTGGATGTCTCAGAGGGATTCGGACCTCCTAATGGGATAAAGATGCAGCTCTGTTGAACAAGGGGTGGGGGGGCTGTTTCTCTTAACTGCAGGCCACAGTGCCCCCTCCGTTGGAAGCCTTTGATGGTACTTTGGGCCGTAAACACAGCGAGGAATGGCAGCTCGCCATCTCGTCCTCTTGCTCTGAATCTGGAGCATCAAAAGGCCTCACTGAATTGCTTTTGTCGTTTAGAAAAACAAGGATGGCGCTCGTGACACTGTCTGGAATTCATTTACTGTGATTCAGCTCAAACATGTGCATCACATTTAGGGACTCAGCGTCGTTTTAGGAGAACCAGTTCTCCGAGGACTGACAGCTTTCTTAACGTGGTCCTGGTTGTAAAAACACACGTTCCTTTTCTTTTCCAACAACAAGCGGTCAGAGAAAGAAACAGTTTCATCTGTGTCTTATCGCAGGAAGAAGAGAGCCAGACCTTGTTCCTTCAAAGAGTCTGCAGATCAACTGTTGTCTTTAAGGAGTGGGGGTGGGGGCGGGGGCTGAACTGGTTCTCATCATTCTGACAATAAAACTTCAGCAGTTAAAACAAAGCGAGGGGGGAGGTTTCCTGTGCTGAATCGTCTCAGCCTTCGTCTCTGTCCAGAGAGAAGCAGAGTGAGCGTTTTAAGAGGAGCTGTGGAAAAAGCTTTTCCTCCCTGGCACCCTGTAGGCTGGAGGAGCGACCAAAAAAAGAGTGATTGGCATTTATATTCCCAAAGGTTTGTTTTCCTACTGTCACACTGTGACTGCAGTGTTGTGGTGTCTAAAGACAAGCTGAGGACTTATCCACACCAAAGAATATTTTTCTTTAAAGCAAACTTTTTCATTTGTTGTTTCTAAAAACGTCCTGCTAAATGTGACACCAGTTCCTGAAACATTTACATGCACAGAGAAACAAAGACAGTCCAAACATGTGGACATAATACACGTTTTACACCCAATATCCAGTAAGAAACAAGGGGGAACGGTCTCATGATGTTCAAAGCAAATCAGGGTAAAATCTAAGWATTGGTTTTCAAAAACTGTTTTCCATTTTTAAATGTCAACTGTATCATTTTTACAACTTTAGACTTTTGTGTTGTTTACAGTTCAATGAAGTGACAAAAATCAAAAATAAAAACGTTTAGTCTCTTGATTTTTTTTTTTTTTGTGTAACTGTGAGGAAATTTTTAATTTCAGATGTTATTGTTCATCAGCCTTGTCTGTTAATTGAATTAATACAAAATACAAATGTTTCACTGAAGTTGCTAACAGCAGCAGAGCCAGATCAGTTTTACAGAATGAGACCACTGGTTTCAGGGGCGGCCCATAAAATAAATGTTTCTCCTACATGTTCATTTGCAGAGGATCTCATCATGTTTCTTAGTTATTCTCTAACTTTATGTAGACAGGCAGTGACTCCATATAGACTTATCAGAGCAGCTGTAAGGAACATTGTGTGTATAGAAAAAGCTTCGTCACGCTGCAAAAACTGTCCWCCTAACCAAGTTTTAAAACCTTATATCAGCCAAAAAGTCTTTTTGATCTTGTTTTCAGACTGATTTACTAAACAAGAACTGATTGTGTAAGAATA